GGCTCTTTCTTCCTTGTTTTCCATTTTCTCTTGCAAAAGCAAACAACCTGTACCTAATTCTATAACCAGGCTGACTTGTGATTTTTAGTTCATAACCTGAGCCCTGTGCTGTCGGTTCCTGTTGTGGGGTTGTGCTGAGTATAACAATGTTAATAAAAGTTAAAAGTTACATAGTAACTCATTTTGTGCCAGGTACTATTCTAGTATGCCTGTGTATACATATTCAAATAATTCACATAAGTGTCATATGAGAAAGGTAATACAGTTACCCCTATTTTGTAGATAAAGTAACTTGTCCAAGGTCACAGAACTACTGAGGGAATCAACATTTGAATGCTGGCAGTCTGGCCTCATAATTTTTGGTATTTAATTAGCCTCACACTGTATCTCCTCCATTATACTACAGAACAATTAACCAGCTTCATAATGAAAAATTGGTGTCGGGGCTCTAGAATATTAACACAGAGATCTGTATCTATGACATGATATTGTCACTTTCTGTGACAGAGTGGAAATAAGGGTCAGAACCACAACAGGCAAGGAGCAAGCTCAGAATTGGCCCCAGTGGCCCTTGGCTCAAGAACATTTACAATAAAATGAAAATGGGCCTTTAACTTATCACCTACAATACACATTAGTCAGGAAAACTGCCACAAAAATGGAGCCCAAGCCTTATTACATGAGTTTATTAGATACTGATTTTCCTGATCTTTAAAAATGGGGAAAAAAATTAGAGGTTTATATACTAAAGTATCTAAAACAGACCTTCAAAATACTTTTTTAGTGGCTTTAAAAAAATGGTTCTACAAAAGAAAACTTTTCCTTTCACCTAAGTTTGCCATTTGACATTTCTAAAACTCTAAAACCTGTCACTTTCACTTCAGTTGAGCGTGATTCTGCCAAGAAACTGCAATTAGCAATTAGTTAAAGCACAACTTCCTCTTGGAAAAATAAAATACCAGATATGTCACCTAAGCACAAGCAAAATTTGATTACACAAACTCCAACAAACAGCCTGTTTTCATTGCTGCAACTGCATTTTTATACTTCAGAAACAACAGGGACCACCTCTACTCCGTTACTGAAATAATCGACATTTCAGTTTAGAATGATTTTTATCATGATCTAGTTTGTTATAGTAGAATTCTGTTCAATTGTAAAATGACTTCTTGATTACAAGAAAATGACTAAGTGTTGTGATTCCACTGTTAGTAGTGACAAAATTAACATCTGAAACAGTTAAAAGGCTTTCAGTGGTTCACATTCATGTTTCCTACTGTTTCATATCTTAATCATATGTTCCAAAATACACACCAAGAGAATGAAAATTTAGATGACTTAAAAAAATAAGGCCAAGACTAATCAGTTTTGTCCCTAGCAGAGGTTCATATTTCACCAGATTAAGGAGTAATATTTATTAAACATACTATAGATGCCAAAATACTAAGAACATACTATTCAAAAGTGAAGATGGGAAGCACAAATATCCACAATGTTTGTCTGACAGATTCATAAGTGTGTGAGGAGATGAATTCAAATCTGTACTTTATGAAAATAAGCTGTGTTATTTTGTTATTGTTTCTCATGGTCAAAATCCTAAATATTTGATTTAAATCTAAGAGTGACTTCTTTAGGAACTGGGTGGAGGATAAGCAGGTAGGTTAACTCTTCCAGGATAGTTTAATTCTGTCTTAGAAATACACCATTTCCAGATATTTACTTTCACTTCCAGTGGAGTAATGTTTAACTGTAACCAGCCATGTCACTGGACATTCCAAAAGAAACTGTACTCAGAATGTTTTTTGGAAAAGTACTAGGCTTTGGGAGCCCTTAAGGAAATTGGCACACAAAATAAAGATCACTATTGTTTATAGACAACTGATATTGTTAGAAAGTTAAGTATAATGATTTTTTTTAAAAAAGTCAAGACATAATCTTAATTTAATCTAACTAGGAAAGGAAATAGCTTACACATTTTTAAAAACTGCCTAGGAAAATAAGTGAGTATGGGTATTATCACAAGAAAACCAAACCAGCACTCTTTGCTTTATGATATGAACACTAGGTTAACTCAATGTGAGCAACAATCACTGAATTATCAGCTCCCTGAAGGAAGAGCCATGGATACCTCCTGAGTTCTGGGTACTTTTACTAGATAACCTAATAACTTTTGGGAACTTCCTCAGACACTCAAAACACAGAAATGGATAAAATATGATCCTTGGCCTCCAAAAACTAAAAATTCAGCAGAAAGGATACAAGGTTTTATTATTATTATTTTTTTAATGTTTATTTATTGTTGAGAGAGAGATACAGAGCGTGAGCAGGGGAGGGGCAGAGAGAGAGAGAGGGAGACACAGAATCTGAAGCAGGCTCCAGGCTCTGAGCCACCAGCACAGAGCCTGATGCGGGGCCTGAATTCATGAGCCACAAGATCATGACCTGAGCCGACGTCTGACACTTCATCAACTGAGCCATCCAGGCACTCCAGGATATAGGCTTTTTAAAACTTCTATTTAATGTGTTATAACATGATAAATGCTATAACAAGTGTGAATAAAGGACTTACAGGAAAACAGAAGGAATGACTAACCTGTCCTCTTAATATATAGAAAAATGACTCTAAAGGTTTTACTGATTTGATTTAAACACTTAATAAATTTTGATTGGTAGGGTTAAAGTTCTAAGATGCCAATTTTAGAAGACTCTAAAGACAGAATATACAAATTAAGTAAACCACTATATAAGGGCTGAGGGGAAGGGGGGGGTTAACTCTGAAAAAGTTTTTAAACTATGCTTCCTCAAAACTGTATGAGCTCCTCAGAGTTCTCAGGGTCCCAAAAAGGGATCAGAGTGGCAAATGTATTCCAAATCAGCCTTAAAAAGTATCTTTTTCCCCTCCAATTCTCATCAGCCTTCCCCTATCCCACCCCAAATAAACATTTAATCTATAACAATGATATACTTACTCTGCAAACAGATTCAAGATAGGACCTTTAGTACCAAATGACTGGTCAGGAATGGGAAACTATGAGCTTTTAAAGTTTTTGATTCATAGTGGAAGCAATAACTTTCCTCCTAGAATGCTTCCCCGGAGTCCTATCATTACATCTTCATGTGGGAGATAATGTCAGCAAACTCTTCTGCAAGAGTGCAGCATACATATTTGGTACAATTTACTCTTTATTCAATAAAGATAGGTATTTCCCTTCAATAAATTTAAGTGAACCCAATTTTCCACTTAAAAATTACTGCTCATTCGGGGTACCTGGGTGGCTCAGTCAGTTAAGCGTCCGACTTCGGCTCGGGTCATGATCTCGCGGTTTGTGAGTTTGAGCCCCGCTTCAGGATCTGTGCTGACAGCTCAGATCCTGAGCCTGCTTCGGATTCTGTGTGTGTCTCTCTCTCTGCCCCTCCCCTGCTCACGCTCTGTCTCTCTCTGTCTCAAAAATAAATAATACATTTTTTAAAAATTAAAAAAAATTACTGCTCATTTATTTCATGTGAATAAGTAAGAAAAATAAAGTTCAGGTAACTCAAAAAGTGTAACAGCATTAGAGATTCTTATTTAAATTTGTTTGTAAGGTAAAAATCTTAGTAGGATGTGCCACATGACTTTAAAGCAGGACAAAATCCCTTTCCTGATTTTCACATGGTACTGAAAGAAAAAGATTAATCAAGACATTTTATACATAAAATTTAAGATCCTAGTTAAATAATATGAGATGATCACGAAGAATTTCTTTAACTGTAGTTAAACAACCCTACATAACATAAAATTTACCTTCTTAACCATTTCTAAGTATACAGTTCAGTAGTGTTAAGTATTATTCACACTGTTGTGCAACCGGTCCCCAGAACTTTTTCATCTTGGAAAACTGAAGCTCCTTACCCATTAAATAACAACTCCCCATTTCCTACTGCCTCCAGCTCCTGACAACCACCATTCTACTTTTTGTTTCTATGAATCTGACTACTCTTGATACTTCCATATAGAGGAACCATATTGTATTTATCTTTTTGTGAATGGCTTATTTCACTTAGCATAATGTCCTCAAGCTTCATCCATGTTCTATAGTATGTGTCAGAATTTCCTGCCTTTTTGAAGCTGAATAATATTCTATTATATGTATAGACCACATTTTGTTTATCCATTCAACTGCCCATGGGCATCCGGGTAGCTCCCACCTCTTGGCTGCTATCAATAGTGCTGCTGTCAACGTGGGTGTGTAAACATGGGTCTTCTGAGATCCTGTTTTCAATTCTTTTAGATATAAAATCAAAAGTAGAATTGTTGGATCATATAGTAATTCTCTGTTTAACTTTCTGAGGACTCTCCACAATATTCTCCTTGGTGTACCATTTTATACTCAAGAAGATTTCTAATCTTTAAAAGAAATGGTAATTTAACAATGACAACAAAAAATTAAAAACCTTTGTTTTCTAAAAAAGAACATAAATATTTTTTAGAAATTGTACAAGCTTTCTGAGACTGAATCACTACCTCCCTTTACATACTTGAGTTCAGATTACAGCCAAACTGAGAAAAAAGAAAAGAAAGGATAATGGCATTTTTATCAGTATTGTAAATAAACATGAACACAAATACACACGCACACATACACACACACGAAGAAATGATGATATTTTGAGGAAAACAACATCAACAACAAAAATCCACAGCTTTAGACTGTGTGAGACACAAAACCTTGCCCTACCAACTACTTACATGGTGGAAAAGGTTACTATCTGGCAATGATTCAGACACTTATTGATCTCAAAGATAAAACACCTAAAAAATTCTTTCCTGCTATTTATTATCCTCCTAGAGATACCACCAAAATCAGTTTCATTTCACATTAAGAAAAAGTTCTTCACAAATCGAAGCTTTCAGGATTAAAAAAAATACACACAAACACACATATATATATGCACACACATAAATACACATATATACGTATGTATGTATCCCTATTACCCAATACCAGAAGAAAAATTACCTGATGATTTCTTCATGATACAGAGAACTAACAACGGGGCCACCAAAACCGGTATTTGCTTCTTTTCCTTTCTTCTCAGGTAACTGTATGGGGACAAGGGGTAGGGAGGAAGGAAGGTGGAAAAAGATACATGGATTAAGGCAGTGTGTATTTAAAATAGTTCTAAAATAATACTTTGCTAAGGAATACTAAAGATTTGAGGTCCACAATTTCTCTGAGGCCCCAGTAACAATTTCAAGATGGTATCCAAAAGGCAAAACGATTCTCAAGTCATCAGAGTAATGGAATGAGTACCCACTAGCAAACCAAGGTCATTCCACTACTGAGCTCTGGAGCCACCTGAAGCCCATCATTCCCTTAGCTGATTAGAAGATGCTATGTTCACTGTGGAGAATATTGATGCTCAATGTAGAAAAATGAAAATGAAATATGACCTATAAATACCAGATATGAACGTGATCAGGAAAATCATACCGAGATTATTAACAAAATTACAATTTCCAAATAAGAAAAAACTAAACCATACTAAAACTTCAAACTCAAACACAAAGAAAAAATATTTTTTTGGTGGCAAAAAGAAAGGAGAGAAGGTGGAGGAGAAAGGAAAGGAAATTATGACCTAAGATAAATGAAAAAAAGAAGCAAATTGTTATGGAAACACTTTCTAAAATTAAGTATTCAATAGGCCCTGACCCTCAATATTTTCAAAAAGCACAAAATTAAGATTAATTTAGAAATAAGATTCTTCTAAAATATATAATATGGAAGCAGTAAACTCGGATGTTATTGTCTAAAAGGTTCAAATTGCAATCTCTGCAAAAGCCCACATCTCCTGCAATAATGACAGTTTTTAGGCCAGGATACCCTGCCAAAATCAAAATTCTAAACATAAATGTCTTAGAATCAAAACTAATACTTTTAGGGGAGCCAGGGTGGCTCAGTCAGTTGAGCATCCAACTCTTGATTTTGGCTCAAGTCAGGGTCCCAGGGTCACGGGGTTGAGAACTGCATCAGGCTCTGCACTGAGCGTGGAGCCTGCTTGGGATTCTCTCTCTCTGTGCCCCTCTTCCTGACCCACGCTCTCTCTCTTGCTCTCTAAAATAAAAAAAAAAAAAAATAGGGGTGCCTGGGTGGTTCAGTTAGTTAAGCATCCAACAGTGGATTTCAGCTCAGGTCATGATCTCACAGTTTGTGGGTTCAAGCCCCATGATGGATTCTGCGCTGACAATGCAAAGTCTGCTTGGGATTCTCTCTCTCTCTCTGCTCCTCCCCTGATCATGTGCTCACTCTCTCTCTCTCTCAAGAATAAACTTTAAAATAATAAAAAAAATAAACTAATACTATTATTGTTTAATTTAATTAACTAGTTTCACTTCAGAAAAATATAGGTAATCCCCATATACCTGGTTCCCCACCCCTCCCCCTGTTCTTTAAAGAAGAGGTTTTGTTTTATTGTTGTCACTTTTTGTGGTTACTTTTGGTTTGTGAACCACTGGGTAAAGGAAAAAGGTCTTGGAGACAGCATATTCTATTAGTTCCTGAGATCACTGGGAAAACCAGTTTTGAGAAAGGGTGGAAATTTTTGAGATGAATCGATGCAGTTACCAATTTATGACAGAAACAAAGCTACAATATCATAAATAATTCCTGTCACAATTTAATGACAAGGTATACTAGTTGATGCTGGCAAGTAAGAAGCACCAAGTAAATGCCAGATCCCTCTCTTCTCTGAAGACCATTCTTAGAGAATAAATGCTGCAAAGAATTTCCAGAATAGAGAATGTTTTCTTTATACTAAAAAAGCACATACCATAGGGAGAACCCATTTTATTCAACGCAATTATGTTCTAAATACATACTCCATTAGTATAATAAAGTTGAAACACAGATGGTGTCCAAGAGATGCTTGCTAAATGAGTGACAAGACTGAAAACAAGGAAAGGGTGCGTCACGCAGCTTCCTGACAAAGAACAGACTCCAAGAACATACCAGAGGGGAAAATCTACGTGTACCACATTAACAAAATGAAGGATAAAAATCATATGATCATCTCAATAGATGCAGAAAAAGCATCTGACAAAATTCAACACCCATTCATGAGAAAAACTCCTAACAAGGTGGGTACAGAGGGAACATACCTCAGCATAATAGAGTGCATATATGACAAACCCACAGCTAACATCATACTCAATGGCTAAAAGCTCAAAGCTTTCCCTCTAAGATCAAGAACAAGACAAGGATGACACCCCCTCATCACTTTTATTCAATATTGTATAAGTATTCCAATTTTTAAAACGGGCAAGAGATCTGAACAGACACCTTACCAAAAAAGACACACAGATACACAGATGGCAGGTAAGCAAATGAAAAGATGTCCAACATCATATGTCATTAGGGAAGTGCAAATTAAAACAATAATGAGACATTACTACATACCTCTTAGAACGGCTAAATTCCAAAAGACTGATAACACCAAATGCTGGTAAAAATGTGAAGCCACCAGGAACTCTCATTCATTGCTGGAGGAAATGCAAATGGAACAGCCACTTTGGAAGAGGGTTTTGGCAGTTCTTCTAAAACTGAATATAATCTTACTATATGATCCAGTAATTCTGCTTCTAGGTACTGACCCCCCTTGCCCCTGCAAATTGAAAATTTATATCCACAAAACATCAATGTTTAAAGCAGTTTTTTTTTTAATAACTGGCAAAACCTAGAAACAACTAAGATGTCCTTCAACAGATGAACAGAGAACCTAACTGTGGTACATCTATACAATACAATATTATTCTGTGATAGAAAGAAATGAGCTGCTCTAGATTAAGAAAAAAGTAAACAACTAAAATCAGAAACTAAAAAGGAGACTTTACCACTAATACCACAGAAATGAAAGAGAATTTTAAGAGACTACTATAAACAATGATATGCCAACATGTTGGATAATGTAGAAGAAATACATAAATTCTAGATATATAGAACCTACCATGATAAAATTATGTATAAAAAATCTGAAGAAACCTATAACCATTAAGGAGATTGGTTCAGAAATTTAAAATCTCCCAAAAAAAGAAAAGCCCAGGACCAGAACATTTCACTAAAGAATTTTACCAAACATTTAAAGAATTAAAACCTAATCCTTCTCAAACTCTTCCAAAAATCTGAAGAAGAGGCAACATACCTAACCTCATTTTATGAGGCCAGCGTTACCCTAATGCCAAAGCCAGACAAAGAAACTAGAAGAAAACTACAGAACAGTATCTGAGGAATACTGATGAAAAAACCTTGAACTAAATACTAGCAAACTGAATACATTAAAAGGATTACATATCATGACCAAGTGGGATTTATTCCTGTGAACGTAAGGACAGTATGGTTCAACACATGAAAAACATCACAAAACAAAATGACGGAAAGCTACATGATCATCTCAATTGGTACAGAAAAAAGTATTTGACGAAATTCAACACCCTTTCATAAAAAAAAAAAAAAAAAAACACTCAATAAACCAAAAATAGAAGGAAATTATTTCAACATACCAAAGGCCAAATATGAAAAGCAACAGCTAACTGCACACTCAATAGTGAAAAACTTATAGTTTTTCCTCAAAGATCAGGAACAAAGGAAGGATGCCCACTTTTAACACTACTTTTCAACACGGTATTGGAAATCCTAGCCAGAGCAATTAGGTAAGGAAAATAAAAGAGGTCATTCAAATTGGAAAGGAAGAAATAAAATTATTTCCATTCAGAGATGACATGATCTTACATGCAGAAAATCCTAAAGATCCCTCCCACATACACACATATAGACCACAAGAAACTGAAAGAACTAATAAACAAATCTAGCGAAATTGCAGGATACAATACTAACACACTGAAATCATGTAATGTCTGAGAGAGAGAGAGAGAGAGAGAGAGAGAGAGAGAGAGAGAGATAGAGAGAGAAATAAGTAAGTTTTCTAATATTAAAAATGATCAGTGCTATGGAAAAAAAAATTAACGTGGGGAAGAGAACTGTAATTTTAAATAAGGTCAGGAGGGCCTCACTGAGAAGGTCATATGAATAAAGACATAAAAGAGGTAGAGAGGTGAGACTTGCAAATATCTAGGGAATATTGTTCCAGGTACAGGAAACAGCCAGTGCACAGGCCTTAGTGTGAGGGTATGCTTAGAATGTTACAGAATTTATGTATTCGTGTTCTTTGCTGAAGGCTGATTAGTATATTTTAGGGGCAAGACAGAAGCAAGAACACAAGGTTATTCACAAGACAATCATAGTTTCTGTTGGTGTCATTCACTGAACCTCTTAATGTGAATAGGCAATTTAGAAAAACACCTATGATCTGCTTGGCAATTATTTGCTGTGAAAACACATACTAATAATTAAGAATTATATGGTATTTTGGAAAGGGATGAGCACAGTTTTTTTTTATTTAATTGCCTTTATTTTTTAGAGTTTCAGGTTTACAGAAAATCGAGTGGAAAGTACAGAAAGTTCCCATATTCTCCCCTCTCCCAAATTTTCCACTGTTATTAACATCTTACATTAATGTAGTACATGTAATTAATTAAAGTCCATAGTTTATGCGGTGCCTGGGTGGCTCAGTTGGATAAGCATCTAGACAGTAGAGTCCAGAGATGTTGCTAGACATCTTACAATGTACAGAGCAGCCCTCCACAACAAAAACTTATTCAGCCCTAAATGTCAATGGTGCAAAGGCTGAAAACTCTGGTTTATAAGTTTTCATCAAATGTTTTAACATTTCAGCTATCATTAATGTTTTGGGGTTTTTTTTTTCTCCTATCTTTTCCTCTCTCTTACTTTTTCACTTCCTTCTGGGACTATATACATGCTACACTGCTTGATATTTTCCCATAGTTCACTGGGGCTCTGTTCATTTTTTAGTCAGTCTTTCTATGTTGTGTGCTTCATTTTTATTAGGTTCACTTGCTACATCTTCAAGTACTGATCTTTTCTTATGCAATGTCTAATTTGCTGTTAATCTTATGCAGTATATTTTTCATTTTAGAAATTGTCATCTCTAGAAATTCCATTTGGGTCTCTTTGTATCTTCTATTTCTCT